GGGAAATTGCACGCATGAATCGTTTGCCCAGGCCCTAATTCGAAAAAAAAGAAATCGAGTATGGGACGCCAATTAAATTAGGTATGGCGCGCACTAAGTGCAATAAAGAGTGAGTAACCTAAAATTAGGGCCTGGAACCCAGGCTAGGTTTTGCACTGCTGACTCTGTGTTTTGCACTGCTGACTCAGTTTTGCACTGCTGACTCTCAGATTTGCACTGCTGCCACTTGTATTTTGTCTTTTTGGCGTTCCATACTTTTGGCGTTCCATGGCCGATTGCTCGCTCGCGAACAGCCTAGCCAACAAATTAAGCAGACAGCATTTGCACGAATCAACACGAATCGAAGCTGATCAAACTAACCTAGGCCTAGGGCCTAGACCTTCTGTGAGGTGACTCACAAACTAGCTTCATGGCTGGGTTTTCTGAGCTGAAAAAGGCTCGGAAGCAACTAACTAATGTTCTTGGAGATGACGTTAAACAGTATGTCTATTTTTTATTTAAAAAAATTACACTAAATATTGTTTTATCTTTTAAGAAACTAGCACCTGACCGGCCTAGGACCTAGACATAGGCCTAGTCTCTATAGAGGCCCGGCATCGTGAATCATGGTGATGAGTGACAGACGATCTGTTCCAGACATTAGAGCCTACGTAAAGACTATTGGGTCCACTTATAGTGGACTATATAGGCCCACTTTCATTATGATACATTATTGCGTTCTAAATTTATTAATTAAACAGATATTGTTAAGAATCGTAATTAAAATTATATCTTACCTTTAGTGATATCTTACTACCTTTAATAATTATAGGAGGCAAAGTTTAAAACTCGTGTCGTGTCTCATATATTACAAATGTGTCGATCGTAGTGTGCTTTGAATGTGTTTAGTGATGTGCAATTGACAACATGTTCAGGCAGCTTTTCCACTTATCTATAACGCTAGTGTCAAAGAATGAATCACGAAAAATATAGGCCTGACGCCCAGGGCCTATTTATGTTATTATTATCAATTTATTTTGTTAATGTATAGGGGCCTAGGCCTATCAAGCTTTGGCCTAGGACTAGGTATCCCAACCAAAAATTTTATAAATTTATTTTGGCTAGGCCAGGCCAGCCCTATCAAGCATCAATCACCACATACAAACGACAGTCATGGGCTGAAATTATTTTGCCTACAGCCTGACGATGGGGTCCATTTCCAGACTATCGGGCCCATTTTCTGGACAATCGGGTCACTTTGAAACTGGGCCCTATCGTCTTTGGCTCGATCGTCTGTAATTGAAGTGATGAGACAAGAACGTATTGAGATTCAAGGGAGCAGTTTAGCTCAGTCAGCTAAACTGGTGGTAGCCTGTGTGTGTGTGCTGATCGTGGACAGCGTGACCACTCACAATTTTTGATATACCCAGCGTGACCACTCACAATTTTTTATATACCCAAATAATGACTGGGTCGAAATTACCCAAGATTCAGCAAAAATTACCCAAAATTACCCAAGCTTCCTGAAAATGCATTAAGATTTGAAAATATGTGTTTCTCGCATGTATAGTTTCCCTTTTAGTTCAATTTATAAACCAATTTTTTATTGTAATTGTTTGTGTTAATTAAATTAATATTCATGAGGTGATAATACAGATAGAAAAATACGCCCTCAGTCGGCCAGTGTTATCAGTAGATCAGTGATCAAGTTTTATTATGTAATGCATTAATTAGGTAAGATCAATGGCAACTCAAATCACAAATAAACAATTCTGAACCCATGTTTATAGCAATTAAATGTCAATTAAAAATGCTATGTGCACTTCGTTGAATTTTGCTATACTTGAATGGACTGAAATATACTTTGTTACTTCTTAATTCTTCCTCTATGACAAAAATATTTCATTTTCTTAGTAAAAATAAAATACCCAAGGATTTGAACGGAATACCCAAGAACCCAAGACCAAGTCAAAATACTCAAGATCTTGGGTAAATACTCAAGCAGTGGTCACGCTGATCGTGGAGATATCTTGGTTCCTGGTTCAATTCCCATTGCTGCGCTCCTTGTTTCAGCTGGTAGGCTGAAATGCAAGTTAAGATAGTGCCCTATGTGGATTTAGTCCATTTGGTCCATGTGCACATTAAATAATGCAGTACACTCTTCGGAACAGAGTAGGGGATTTTGTCGGTGTAAACTGCCCAATCACCACCAGAAGGACCCCACTAGAGGTAGTCTTCTTCAGGCTGAGAATTTTTTGGGTTATTTTTTATGTTTACACCGACCAAATACATCCATCAATCCATTCATTGAGGACTGACTGTACTAAAGATTGCAAAAAACAGGCTTGCCGATCGATCAGACAAAAATATGACCGGCTACTAGGTGGCACCAACCGTCGCGGAGGACGGGGTGGGGTGAAAAACCACAATATGTCAATGGGGTGGGCGTGGGAGAAAAACCACAATTCATCAGGGAGAAAAAGAATTATATGTATTTTCTGCATTATAGTAGACTTCAATAAGAAAGAAAGTATATAATACACACCAAGGGATTACTGTAGCTAGTGGACGGACAACAATTATTTAGGACAGCCACTTATACCGTGACGGCTTGCCCTACTCAGTCTGGCCTAGCCTAGTTGGGCCTGGTTTACCTTTTGCAAATTCTTTATATTAACTAAAGCATATTTTGGACAGCCCATTTCGTTTTTCTGGCTAAACCCCTGATACACACAGTACTCCAAGTATTGAAATACACGCCATCGTGTTGGGATGGCATGTATTTTCTCCACCCCACAGCTGTTGTTACTCTAGCTTATGTGCCAGTAATTTTAGCACCCATAAATTCTCCCCTGCAAAGCCTGCCTCTGTGAAGTTGCCTACTAATAATGCTACCCACTTCCAAATTCAACCCTTAACAAATGCCAATGTTTGGGGAATATATATTCTACTCTGGTTTTATTTTTCAAGTTCGAAAAGCGTTACTTCATTTTCAAGCTGGTATTAATCAAACCTATGATTTTATGTTAGGGTCGGTGGTGGTTCCAGGAATTTGAAATAGAGGCTACCAAAGACATTCACAGATGGAGGTTGGGAAAATTTATGATTATGGCACCTCTAGATGGCTGGAAGTCACACTCTCAGACTTTGAATATTTCTTTTTTTTCTCCAATTTTGAAAAAAAAAAATTATGGGGCTGTGCCAGCATCTCCCTACCACCCCTCCACTGTGGAGTTACTTATTGTAACTTGTAATTTTCTTTTGTTATCTTTATCTATGTAGGTATTGGACCAACATGAAGCTCTGGTTTCGGCAAAAGGTAGGACAAAAAATACTTAATTCTTTCACTTTATCAATAACTAAATCTATAAAACATTAATAATAAATAATCTATGCTTAAAACTCATATGTCTGAATATCCTTTTATTAGGTAACAAAGGAGGAATTTGATAATGAAGCTAGGAGACTGCTAAAAGGTGACAATGGTTGGTAATGTTATATTTCATGTTTATTATAAAAATTGTACAAATTTCAGTTCAGTATACTTTTAAATTTTTTTAAAGAGTGGACAATTATTGTTTTTGTATTTTGTAAACCTGATTTAATTTGTTTATGAAGTTGTAATAAATATATTCAATTAACACATAAAACTCTCATATATTTGTATCTACAGTTCAGTATCACAATGAGTTCTTGGTAGCAATTTTAGCAAAATGTCAAAGCCTGACCTCTGCAACAGGTATGTTTAGAAGTGAGGAATATATCCAATATATTGAAAGTCAGTTGTGACACCATCATTGTAACATTTTTCTACTACTTGTCTATATTAATGTATTCAATAATTTCCATCTGGTGCATGAGTTCCAACTAAACTAATTGCTTATACATACATTTTCTTTTATACCAAGTTTCAATTACTATAACTTAAATCTTTCAATGTATTGGAGTACCATTATATTGAAATGAAATATAGATTATGGTGATTGATTTACAAAATACACAATTACAAAAATGTGTTTTTAATTATTATTATTATTATTATTATTATTATTATTGTTTAGAAACAGTCAAGGAAGTGAGCACAGTTGTACACCCACCACCAATCAAGGTGGCAAAGAAGGAAAGCAAACCAGTGAAAAAGCGCCGTCAATCAGTTAAATTGTCCTTAGATGTAGGTATACATTTTTATTTTATCATATATAGACCCAATTTACCATCAAATTTAGTCTTTGGACGTTCAAATATCCAATTATAATCACCTCTGTGCTTTGCTGCCCTGAACATCAACTTATGTATTAATAATTAGCATTTTGACATATTGGGTCAAAGTTCAATGTAAAATATAATGGCTGCACCTAGTAAAAGAGCATGATTGATGTTGGTATGTGATTGTTTGGGTCAGACAAGAAAGGGTTAAAGCATTCAATTGGAAAATCAGAGCAAAAAATAATACAGTATTTAGAAATGTTAAAATTTGAAACATTCTGCTGTGAAATATTCCTATATTTTTAATATCAGTATTTTTTATGTGTTTACCATTACCAATTGTTTGATGTTTGGTAATTGTTTTAGTATTATTTTAATATACCATAATAATCTAAGTTTGAATTACTGGATTTAAATCCATGTTTGTTTTATATTACAAGAATGACACAGAAATTTACAGTCCATTTATTACATTCTAGAACTACCTGTTGATATGTATATCTTATAACAGAAATATCAACATTGAATTACCTTATAGCATCGGTTCGTACCAATAGACCCTCTGCCAGAAGCACCATCGATTGAACCAAGGGCCTTGCAAGATGGGGAGCAGTTAAGTTTCTGTGCCGGCAGCAGACTTCTTCCAGACCCCAGCATGTTACATGGACGGATGTTTGTAACTGCCTGGGAATTTGGTCTAGATCAAATTGAGGATGATACTGTTTCAATGATGGTACATGCTGCAGAGGTGAGTGCTACTGGGACATCTCAAAGTTATTGTAATAAAATACTAAAATTTCCCAGTTTTCTTTCTGCCTTTGCTTCTCTTTTATCTGTTTTTCTGTTCTGCTTTTTCCTTTTCCTCTGTACTGTTTCTCCCTTTGTTTTCTTATTTTCAAGCACTTCTTCATCTTTGTTGCATAGCGACCAAAGTGTAAGTTTGGATTGGATTGAATATCAATCACATCACATGTATTGATCTTAAGGCTATTGTTCCATTACTGCTCTCTGGAAAGCATATTTAGCTTTCACAAAGGAGCAAAGCTCTATGGCAGCCGTTTATTTACCCATGTTCTTTTTCATGACCTTGGGAGGGGGTTGTCGGTGCGGTGGTGGCAATGTCATCATTTGTGGTGTTCCATCCTGTAATTCACAAGTGTATTTTTTTGATATAAAATGATATAAAGGTTTTAAGAATTATTGTTATTCTGATTCTACAGCAAATATTAAAAGACATTTTAACGCAAGCATTCTGCTTAAGGAGTGGTTATCAGGTACGACATGGGAACTTTCGACATGCAATAGGCACACTTACTCATGTACCACCCATTAGAACAAGAACACGTGACCAGAGCAACTGGGCTACAACGTAAGTTGTGTTTTACTTTAATTGACTTGTTTTAGAGAGACTAAGATATCCTTTTCTATCAAACAGACAATATTATTTTTTATTAGGCTTCTTTATTTTTTATCAAATATAATTTGACAATAAACGATATAAACTAAATATATTTATACATACAGTACTGGCCAGAATTATCCCAAATTTTAAACGCATTCAACCCGTTGCGTTTTCCTTGAGAGCGCGTTGGCGTTGACAACGCATTGTCGTTGGCGTTGAAAATGTTCACCTCATTAGAAATTGTTTATTAAGAATTCAACGCAAAGTGTTGTATTAACAGTTTGTACAGTAAATAAATAGGCGTTAACAGTTTCTAAATAAACAGCCACTTACATAATTGTAGTAAAGAAATAATGTGATTAAGTGAAGATTGGAGACGAGTTGAAGGCCCAGGTCTATTTTTGATTGTGACGACATTGAAAAGGAAAGGTGTTCGACGTAAATGTGGATACTCCACTCAATTAAATAACAGAAAAACAAAAAAAAAGCAGAAAATAAAAATAGCAAAATGACTCACCAATATATCTCCTCAAATAACTCTATTATATCTAGGCCTAATTTTAGGATTAGTGCCGCATAGCCTAGGCCTATGCCCAGCTAGACAAATGTGTCTTTAGGTCAACCTTATAATACAGTACATGTCAACACTGCCCCGTTCCGTATCCATGTAATTTACCGTTGTGTTTTAACCAACATTCAGAAAAAAAAACAAAAAAAAAAACGCCCATCCATAGCCAGGTAATATTAATATAAAATTCAAGAGGTTCAACAACAACGTCACAAATACCAGCCTTGTGACGGCACAGACTTCTAGTCATCGCTACAACGAAAAAAAATAACACGTCGGAATTTGCGCGATCTGAACCAGGTCCTCCAGTCAACAGGGTCATTGACATTTTGGTGGTATCAGAATCATACGCTGTGTGTTTATACTTCACTGTGTAATGACGTTTGGTAGTCTATTAGTCATTCTGCAAATTTTATTTTAAAGTAATTGAAAGATCTGGTTTCATCATGGTATTTCTCCAGGAGGACCAGCCGGCCCCCCTCCCCCACATCCCGCCCCTTTTGGAAGGTAAAATAAAAAGAAAGAAAAAAAAAAAGAAAAGGAAGAATATGGAAAAAAAATCGCTCAAAACGACGATGTTATTTTCGGGCGTCTAAAACACAAACATTTTGCGGGGGCACGCCCTGTATTAATGCTTTGTATTCAATTGTATTGACATATTGTTTTAGTGTTATTCAGTGCGATCCACACATACAACTTCCAAATAGTGTTTACAGTAACTGTTAATTAATTTGATAAACCTTTTCTGTAAATAATATGAATCACATAAATTACTGAATTATGAGAATAATATCAATATCACATAGCAAATGGGTATAAATAAATTATATAATCTCCCGTCTATCCACAGTGTAGCACATATCAGTTTTTATCTGTTTACTTGTATAATATTTATTTTTTTCGATTGCACGATTGGCATCAATTAAGACACTACACTGTACTTCTTTCTTGCACTTTTGTTTAAATTAAATCCGTCTATCGACGGCGTTTGTAAATCGTTGAAATGGTAATAGTAATGTTAATAAATCATTTACGCGGCATGGATGGTCTTGATTTGAAAGAAAGATACAGAGTCAGATATCATTTATTGTAATAATATTGAATACATGAAATACATTACAAAGTATTTAAAGTACATTAAAACAAATAGCACTACGCAAATAACGCACAGGCATAGGCCTATACATATTAGTTTTTAAGAAAACTCAGTAGAAACTCGAATATATTTACACTATTATAGAAAAGGAATATCCTATTTTGTAATACTTTATTTTATGCATAAATTTAGTAAATACTGTACCACGTTAAAACGCAACCTAAAAATGTTTCATCCAGGTCTCTGTTGTTGTTGTTGACATGTATGCACTGGATTGGCACTGTATTCTGATTAATGATAGGCCGATCTATTGAAAGGGGAAAAGGTACTGTATATAATTATTGTGCATAGGCTAGTTAATACGAAATTGAAAATAATAATACCTGTCTCTTATACACATCTAGGGTGCTCAGCTAGGCCGTTTGTAATAATTAATATCAATACAGTAGACCTACTCTACATTCGACATCACTTGTTGTAAACTAGGCCTAGGCTGGCCTAATCTTAACCTATCTAGCCTAGCCTAGCGAATGCACCAAAAGAACACTATAATGATAAATGTTGGAAGATTCCTACTCTGTATAATATATATATATCTTAACAATACATTGGTCTCCAAAATTAATCGATGTTGTTTATTGATAATCATTGTAACATCACCGTCGCTGACACACGGACACGATTTCGTTAAATAAACAACAAACTTTCAACGTTCATTTCAACGCAACGTGAATGCAACGCAATTCAACGCGAACGCAACGCAACAGCAACGGGTAAAATGCGTTGTGATTTTTGTGATAATTCTGGCCAGTACTGTAGTTAATATTAATTCCAGCATGCCAACAACAGTTGATCCAGTTCACGGTCAGATCCCCGGCAAACAGCCTTCAGTGGAAAAAGCTGAGGCTCAGTCTGTGATGCAGGCAGCAATCAGTGGAACACAGCCACCTCGTAGACCCATGTCACTCTATGATCTGCAAGACACTCTTAAGGTACAGTAATCTAAGAGGCTGTAAATAATCAACTAATTGCCATCCAGAATAAAGAAAGTTGAAAGAAATAGATATACAGATTAACCAGTGAAGCACTTAAAGTGTATCTGGCTATGTTCACACACACACCATATAACGGTTAGCAGGTTCCAGATAAATAACATACGCTTGCGTTCATTGAAGAAAATCCCTGATCCAGGTATCAAAAAGATCACGGGTTGGATCACTGTCCAATATGTAATTGGAAATGTGTACGTGTTACTGAAACGCACTCACTAAACTGATAGCGCTTGCTAACCGATAGACTATTCACTTTCTGGTAAATTTTAGCGCTAACCGATTGGGCGTTCTCACAATCTGGATATTAAAACTCTGGTGTGAACCAAACATTATTAAAAAGATGTTTACTCATAAATTCTGTACTGTCAGCTTATGCATTTATAAGCCTATTCATAAAGTATACAACAATACCAAATGTATCAATATAAGGTTCTAATAAGAATAGTGAAGTACTATACATACTGTATTTGGATGCTCAACCACCAAATTAAAAACTTTCAGCATACAGATTTTATTTAGCTATGGCTTTGAAACAAGATAAATGATGAGAGTTTTCGTACAGTTGTGCCACTGTGGTGGCTATTTCGTTGCATACATATTCAACATTGGGCTTCTCACCTTAAATGCACGCGCACACAAATGGTCACAGCACTTGAGATTCACCGCTTCAATGTCTCCCACATTTGTGTTCTTCATATTATATATTTTATCATTATTGCTACCCTTAGAAATTTTTATATTTTTATCTTTATTGAAACATCTTTATCAATGTTTTTTTTTTAATTTATTGATAGATGTATAAGAAAACACTGCCCTCGCATACTGTGTATAGTATTAACATGGAGCGGATTATAGCAGGGCTGTGGCATCCGAGCCATGAAGAACTTGATCAAGATAATCTGCATAGGGAGGAGAAACTGTACAGAGAAGAAATAGAGATTAGTGAAAAATGGGCGACTCAGTGGAGGACAGATGGACAAACAAAAGTTGTTTAGGTGACAAGGAACTACAGTTTTATATTAATATTTTAATTACTGTTTTTTCAATTGTTTTTATTGATGTGTTTAATGTCATAAGAAGTTTCCATACCATTTGAAGCCTTTTCAAATTTAAAAACATTATTTATTCATAATTAAATTTATATTAAATAATGTATCTTTGTTGAAGTTTTCTTTCAATTCTTTTATTAATTTCATTTTTAAAATTTGTTGTTTATTAACTAATAAAAAGATATATAAAATAGTAAAACATAAGCAGAGATAAAATATGTTTATTTCCCTAAAACATTGCTAAAAATCTACTGTATGTGAACTTGTATTAATACAAATAATTTTCGACCATTTATTTAAAACAAATTTGTATATCAAATTTTGGACTATAAAATGACATACAGTAGTTGTTAATTGTCCCTTTCGATGAAATATCTGTTAATAGTGGAAAGTTATTGGAAATAAAATTGTCCATATCCAATAACAGCCATTTCGAAACTGATGCAATTAATAATTTACTTTTTCAAGAACATCTTCAGCGCATGATCTTAGGCTTGGGTCACTTGATGTTATTTCATGACCCAATATGTTAAGCTCAGGTAGCAGCAGTCCGCTGCTGATTTCTTTAAACATAGCTCCAAGTGCATAGATGTCAGTTGCCTTGGTCTCAATCTTATCTCCTGTAAGGAAGTCTGGAGCTAACTCTGGCCAGCATCTTTTAAAAAAGTCTTGCACCTCTTGTTTTTTAAAGTCTTCTTCGTAAATTCTTATCTGTTTTGTTGATGCATGTGATACACAGCCTAGGTCAATGATCCTAGCACACATTTTTTGTTCGGTTGAAGTCGCGGATGTGATGTCGCGGATGTGATGTCGCGGATGTGATGTCGCGGGTGAAAAGAAGCCATTGGAATTGAGAACTGCTGTGGTCTAGGCTTTGTTGTGTAAAGTATTTTTGCAGCGTAGTGTGTTGGATGCCTAGGCCAAAAAATTCCATGCATGCTGTTTTTTGGTCAATAAATAAATCTTGTTTGTTTTGAAATAAGGCATTCATTGATAGAAGTTGAGGAAATGATCATGAATTCCGATTGATGAGGAAGGGATTCACTTGTGGGTACTACTGAAGTGGGTACTATAAGTCTGTGTGTTTGATTGCTTTCCACAAACTTATTCCCCACTGACGGTTGACATGAGCACTCATTCATCTGGATGGGCTTTGGGGTTTTCCTGTTGAGGAGAGGTTTGGGCTGATGCATGCTGAATTAATTTAGAAATTAGATTGGGTGGTTGAAATTAGTATTGGCACCTACTGTAGCATCGGTAGTCATCTCAGGTGTTGTTTTCTGGCACATCATACACATTCCAAAGATGAATGTAGTGAGGCATTTAGCAATCGATGCCTCACCGCCACTGAAATATACCAATCAAAATGCATTTATGGAGTACTGTAATTATATACAAATGTTTAAATAGAAAATAGGTGTTTTAAGAGAAATGTGTTTCTAATCTTGCTAGTGGGACCCAATGTGTAGTAGCTGTCTCTTATACACATCTAGATGTGTATATATATACAGTATATATATATATATACAGTATATAAATCATCAAAGAAAGGTAAATACATCGTGTAGCATAGCTCTTAATGAATGTTGAGTGCTATGCTACACGATGTATTATGTCCTTTATTCAAACTGAGTGAGGTCCTGAAATTATGCATGATGTAAACTCACCGAGTGGTTGAAATGCAATAAACTTCTCTTAAATATAAGTAAGACAATGTATGTAATATTTTGTACCACGCAAAAGAAAGTTGAAAGTAATTCCGTTAATCTCGAAATCAGTGACCAGTGGAACGAAAGGATAATGTTATGTTGCTAGGTATTATATTAAAGGAACATCTATGCTGGAAGGATCATATCAACAATATTTCCCTGAAAATCTCAAAAGCAACTGGTAAGCAAAGTCATATTTCCCTTCTCGAATCATCCTCAATATTTGTAGCGCACTGATCTTACCTTATATGCAATATGACAACATTATTTGGGAAAGTATTCTAAAAGTAATTTAGATACTACTGTATCCACAAACATCAGAAACATGCTGCTCGATTAATTACCTCATCACACTTTAAAGAAAGTGCTTTGCCATAGTTTGCTGAACTTAGAATTCTTGATGTTTTTAATATTAATAAGATGAATAGGCCTATAGTGTGTTTTATGTGTAAGCTAGGGAAAAACTGTTGCCCAAAAAGAATGCTTGGTTTATTTGATGAAAACGTTCAAAATGAAGAGGATATGAAATATAATCTCTGTGAAATATTACTTTTTACCTCCCAAATTTAGGTTAACATTTATTCAACATTTTATAACATTTAATGGACTAAACAAATGGAATGAACTGGTAAACGTATTAAATGCATTATAAACATGTGGCACATTATGTAACTTAAAAGCAAAAATTAAACATTTGCTCAAAGAAACCATGTGAAGCAGAACTTAACCAGAATTTAAACATTTTGCTTTTGGTTCTTCTTGTATTTACATAATTATATGTACAACAATGAATGTTTACTTATTTTTGATCTGTGTTTTATGAATGCTTTTATTTTGCTGCTCTTAGTATTTTCTTAAAGATGGATTACAGAGACAAGCCATTTGAGGTTTCTATGTAGTCTCTCGACCAAATTGCTTTCTATTTATTCCTTTGTTTTAATTGATTCGATTTTATTTTGTTTAAACTCTGTAGTTTAATTTGGTCAATAAATGTATTTTTGAATTTGAATTTAAATTTGAGATAATAATAATGATAAGGATGATGATGATGATACTGTATATTATTATTCATATACAGTATATTATTAATATTACAGTATTATCGTTACATTTATTATTTATTTCAAGTAAAACGTTGGTGAGGTTTTGCTAAGAAAGATGTTGCTTCCATTAGAAATAATAAGTCATTTGGGGTACGAGGCGCTTATAAATGTAGGGAAAATTAATGCCCCTGGTTGTTTATTCAAGAGGTAATGTGATTCGAATACAGCAATTCCCAAAAAGCCTATTATTTCACCCGACTCTACCTAATAGATCTGATAAGTATCAGTTTCGGTGACATCACCATTCATGATGCCGTCACCATACCTGATAATAGATGATTGATGACTGGTGCTGTCACCAGTTAATTTTTGAAACATGTATTAAAGAATATCTAAAAGATGCATGGGAAAAACGAACACATGTTTTAAATGGCCCTGATAATAATGTTAATAGTTTATGATATTTTTTTACTTCTTTCTACATGATTTTATAAATAGACATTAACTGTACTTATAATGTGTATTGATTGTATGTTTTTACATTTACTTCACATTGTATTTATTATATTATGTGCTTGTTTTTATTTATTTATTGATCTATTTTTATTTACTTTATTATATTATTATAATTATTATTTTCTTTTTTCTTTTCTTTTTAGTTAAGCTTTTAATTTTATAATAATATTATCTTAATTGGATTTGGATTTTTCATTACTATTATTTTTTTTTTTAAATGAATTTTATCTTTAACTTTTGTTCTGTTGTATGGTCGAACCTCTCCTGTGTGTAAGAGTGTTCCTCTGCTTTGAAAGAGAGCCAATAAATTATTATTACCAGTTTAGAAGTGTATCAGCATTTTATTGTCACCGAAACTGATCACTTAGGTAGAATCGGCTGATTATTTATAATGATGATGATGATGATGATGATGATGATGATGACGATGACGATGACGATGACGATGACGATGACGATAATAATAATAATAAGATTTGTAATGCGTACATCTTCACCAATGGTGCTCAATGTGCAGTGTCAATTTCACCAAAAAATTTAAAAAAATGCAGATTAATTCCCAGAAGAATTTAGAGCCGAATCCGTATATCAATTTTCCCACCGAGGCATTGTTGCTTCCCATATAAGTATGCGAAGATACTCATAAAGCAGTATGTTGAGCATCAGCACCTTCCACCCCAGGTTAAGCCCAGGACTCCACTACCGTGCAATGCAAAAGGAGCAACATTGCGTTCACAGGGAAAAGTGGTGTAATGTTTATCATGTTTTTTTTTATTTGTTTTTTTTTAAGTTTCTTTTTTTGTTTTTGTTTTTTTTTTGTATGTAATATAAATTCAACAGAGGAACATCACGGTTCTCTATACGCCTCCGTGATGCAATTTTAAAGTTATGTTAAATACAATAATTATAGTCCTAATATGTTTGACCGAACAAGGCAAAGCATTCCAAAGACGTGGAGCTGCAATACTAAAAGCTCTATCCCCATATGAGTGATGTGACTTTGGTTGATGTAGAAACAGTTACGACCAGGAACATATAAGGCCGAATCATGTCAGCAACATAGTTGGGAGCCATACCATTATACATTTAAAAACAATTAATAATATTTTAAAGACAATGCGATGTTGTACTGGAAGCCAGTAGTGTTTTCAGAGTACTATATTTGTTATATGTGAGTACATACTTCGGTGACTTGGTAGCTGAACGTGGAGCAACATTTTGAATAAGTTGAAAGCCGTTGGATTTGTTCGTGTGTAAGTCCATACAACAATGAGTTATCCATATCAAGGCGTGAGGTAACAAATGTTCAGCAGCTGCATTGTCAATATTTACAATGTCGATAATGTTTTAGAAGAAACGTAATATAAGCCCACCTCAAAAATAATTATTCAATATATATGTGTAAGAGTAAAAGCCTGATGCAATTACTATGCGGAACAAATTCAAGCCCAATAAAAAATAGGATGTAGGATCTGATATTTAATTAATATTAATATTAATAATTAATATTTATTCAATTAAGGCTTTTTAGACGCATCAAATTTTATAAGTACTGTATATAAGCCTAGGCAATCATCATTCCACCATGAGGCAATACACACACATTAAATACATACAGTATTAGGTCTAAATTATATACAAATGTTTAAATAGAAAATAGGTGTTTTAAGAGAAATGTGTTTCTAATCTTGCTAGTGGGACCCAATGTGTAGTAGCAAGGAGGAATTTTAACTGCTACATTTTCACTATTTTTGGAATAATATGAGGTTCCATCAAAAGAGAAGGATGCTGTCTTCTCACCGTAATTTAGAAAGAACCTTTTAATTTTAGGAAATAATTGGTTAAACTCGCTATGTAGAGTTACTATGGTGACGCGCGTGTTTTTGCAGAATAACGCGCATGTCTTATTATTATTATGCATTCCACTATGTCTTATTATTATTATTATTATTATGCCCCTCAATCGATAATGCTCTAATGATAGTTCAAACTATTCAGCATAAACCAGAACAAACCGGTTCTCTTCTGTATTCGTAGGTACAGGCCTAGGCGAATTGTTAGTTCAAGTAATTTAGTATCATGTATGTATAACAAAGGAGACAAAGTAGTACTACCACCGTAAGTATAATAATAAGTATTGTTTCTATTAAAAATATTTAGGCTTAGCTAAGTCCATTTTTTGTCAGTTTTATCAATATTGCTTAGCTTAAAAATTGCTTAGAATTAAAACGTCAATTGTCTTTTTTGACTTAAAGACATTTTTTAAGCTGAGATTTGTAAATTCCGGGCCTGATGACGATTGAAGCAACTCAATCGAACTTCGAAACTCTCAACAACAACAATTTTTTTTCAGAATTATCTACTTTACCACAAAAAGCAACAGTTTTTGTTTTATGAGAACCTTCTATACCACAACAGTTTATTATTATTGCTACTTCGCCATGTAAACCCTTAAACAAATTTTTAAAAATAATTATAACATCTCTGCGTTTATACCTTATAAACTGGATCAAACCACTCCACATGTGTTAAAATATTTTGATGTCTAATATTAAACTCCTAAATGTTAAATTGAGATATAATGAATACCGTACCGTATTTGCAAAGTATGAGAGTGCTATTTTCGGGCATCTACAAGTACAATATCCTAAATTTGCTCGCCACAGCCATTGATGAAGCTCATAAGGTGGGTGTCGTCTGTCAAACCAAAATTGTAATTAACACCTAAAATTATGATATTTTCGAAGCCTAAATCAATACTGAGTTATGTTATGGATTTTACCTTTAACTTTATTATTCTGTTCATCATTCGGACATGTGCTTTTACCTCTATTAGCCTCTGTATAATTAAAATGTATACCCTTATGCCAAGCATTAAAATTATTTGTGATATGTTGTGTCTTGCGGCTACAGTTAAGTTCATTTGTCGAACCATTAATATATTTTACGCAAGCAATGACATTATCAGCAAAATAATGTGTAGTTGATTACTGTCAGCTTTCTTTTTTCAAAGATTATGATTAATTATGAGGCTCATTAGGGACCATTATTATGCGCTATACAAATCCCCAAACATTACATATTATTATTTTTGGAAATAGGACTAATGTTAGCATCACATTTGTGTATAAAGTTCAGTATTTTTTTGTGACGAACAGCTTCGCTGGTAGAATCACCATCGGGAAATATAATTCAATAAAACTTAAAGTATCTTTAGACAGCATTATTTATTATTACTTACTGTACTACTATTTGTTGTTGGTGTTATGGTTGTTTTTTTGTTTTGTTATGGTTATTTTTATTATAATTAAATTTATAATTTATGGCCTCAATATAAAGAGATTGAGGTTCAAATTACACTTTTTTAATGCTTTGTCATTATGATTGTATTATGTTCAAATGGGAGAAAAGTTTACTTTACTTATTTCTAACAAAGACTTGACAGATCATATTAGACTAAACCGTATATTTAAAAAATATTTTTTTAATACCTTGTGATATTATATTTTAGATATTTTTGCAATTTTCGCCTGTGAGTGGGAACAAAACGTTTCGTTGGCGATTGTTTGAAATAAATATAATAAACAAATAAAATATTTTACCTCTATTCAAACAGTGTCTGTCAAATCTGTTTTGTGAATTCTCACTATACGATTAATTTTTTGTTAAAGTTAGTTTAAGCCCATAATTTTACAGTGGTCTGGCCATTGTTTGTCGTTGTATGTAACTTATTTTGATATTTCAGTTGTTATAAATTTATTGGTTTACAAATTTAGTATTCAACAAATTTTCTGTCTTTTAATAGGCCTACAACAAAAATAGTGTATATATTTAGTGTGTTGATTAAGTCCACATAGGATATCTCGATTGTTGCGTTGATTGTACATTACTTTGTCTGCCTGGTACGTTTTACTTCCTGATGATGACATAATTAATGTCGAAATATTGAATCCCGAGACGATGGCGTGCATTTCGATACTTGGAGTTTGTGTCATACTATTTTACTAGAATTGATGCTCTTTTCAAATACTCAACATTAGACCAACAACAAAGCTGTGTGAAAAAAAACTACGCACGCTCTAATGTTGCACATATTTGAATATTACAATTGTATAAAAAAAAAAAAAAAGCAAAAAAATAAACAGAAAACCAGAAAACATTCGAAAAGTTATTCAATAGATAATCAAAAGATACAACAAATAATAGAATAATATTAGGCAGCACAGAATAACTTATATAAAAAAAACCAGATTTAATTATTTTTATTTGTTATTATTGTTTTGCACTGTCTGACGTGTTATCATATACTACTGAATTCTCAGTACGCTCCTAAAACTTGCGAAAAATCCCGCAAGTGATTCGAACGGGATTCAAACCCACGACCTCAAGATAACTAGCCTGGTGTGTTAACCACTAGACCACCGAACTGCGCATAGCGGCTAATATCGATCCGATCTCCAAGCAACAGCGATTTCGTCAGAAGATTTGATAGGAATGATGTTTTGCCCTGCCTTTCTTATTATCGTACTGAATTTGTCATTACTTTTGTACTGTGGGTGTAACCACCACAAGCCTATAGGACTATTGTTGAATATTCAATCCCAGCAGCACGGTGGCGTGTTACGTAACTTTACTACGGACAATGAATAATATAATATTATTTTATTGCTCACAATGGGCCAGCATGCGTACGTCGTCCGTGTGATCACTATATTTGCAATTGAAAAGCCATTTCCTCAATTATTTTTACAGGCTGACAATGAATGATTTTCTGGAAGATATAAAAATTGCTCTGGAATGTGCAATTTGTTTTGAGAGGTTACAACAGCCGAAGTCGTTAAGCTGTCTTCATACATTCTGTTTGGGTTGCCTTCAAAACTGGGTGAAAAAACAAGGACAATTAGTGTGCCCAACATGCAGACAATCCCAGATGATTCCTGAGGGTGGGCTACAAAAGCTTTATCCTAACATATTTGTAAATAATATGCTGGATTGTTTTGAGAAAGTAGAGAATGCAGGAAACACAAAGTGCTTTTGTTGCCAACAAACCAACACAGAATTTTATTGCCAACAATGCAGAATTTCCTTATGCTCCGTTTGTGTTCAACAACATAAGATTTTACCAGCACTCGTTAGCCACACATTACATCCCATGAAAGACATCAAGACGATGACATTGCAGCAGTTTTCATCTCTCCACCCAGCGTTATGCCCTGAACACGAAGAACCTCTGAATTATTATTGTACGAAATGCGAGACCGCTATATGCATTCACTGCACTATTATTAAACATCAAAATAAAGATGGCAGCCATCATTATATTGATATATCTGAAGCATTCGATAAATTCAAACAAAAGGCTGCTAAAATTGAACCGGCAGTTGCAAACTTCATAAATAAAATAGAGAATAGCCAGAAAACTCTCAAACTTTGTCTCGAAACATTAACTAAACATAAGGCTATGTGTGAACAAGAAATTGACCAATTGGTAGAAGAAGCTATAGAAATTGTCAACGAACACGGTATAAAATTGAAAGAAAATGCGGATTTTATTTTTGAGCAGAAGAAACGCACAATTGAAAGTCAGGATAATGAACTAATGACTCTTCTGAAAAAAGTAACAAGAACACAAAATTTTATTTCACAGCTAATGAAGAGCGATGCAGCTACAGCCATGGAATCATGCGATAAAGCAATTGTAAAAATAAAGAAACACATTGAAAACCTGCCAGATATAAAACAACAAGGCAATAGTGATGTAACTGTTTGTAAAGAAAGGACACAACTTTTCGCCTTGAGAGAGAAGGGAATCGGTGTCATTAAAACCAACGACGACCCTTTTTTGAAAAACAGAAGCGATGAAGCAGCAGCAGTGAAAGCATGCGATAAAGCGATTGCGGTATTAGATGATAATGATGGAGGTGTTGATAATAATGGTGATGATGTTGTTGATGATGATCCTGATAATGATGCTACTTATAGAGATGATCATGATGATGATAATGAGAACCGCTTCATCGCCATGAAAACTAAAGCAAAGGTACCGGTAAGAAAGGAAGACGTCACTTCTGGGCGGGAGGACAATTTTGAAATCGCATCTAGTGACCCTTTCACTGTTACGCCGGGGCAAATATGTAAAGTGAAAATTATTCAAAACCATTGTGTGATGGATTCCAAGCCACTTAAAGCCAGTCTTAAACATTCCACAGGAGCCATTGTTGATGTGGTGGTTCAAAAGATAAATGGTAACGATTATATTGCCAAGTGCTATAGTAAAAATGTAGGTGTAGCATATGTTAATGTTTATGCCGAGGGAAAGCAAATACGGGGATCACCTGTTCACATAAGAGTAGTTCCAGGAAGATTGGCGACAATGACTAATTTTCCAGACATCGAGCCGTATATATGGCATCAGAAAACAAGGGTAATGGATATTGCAATTAGTGGTGAATACATATTCGTCGCAGGCTGTAGCAACGAAGTTGTCCGGTTTCAATTATGTGGGATATATGAAGATAGAATATTTTTGCCCAAAGGTACTAAAGTAAATAGAATGTATTGTATTAAACAAAGTGGTGACTTGTTGATAAGTGATGGGGGAAAAACGTGTGTTCTTGTGCATTCCACTTCCAATAAGAATGATACCTTACAGTGGAATGGGTTAAGAGAACCATACGGACTAACAATGGACGAATCAAAACCGAACGAACTTATATATGTTGCAGACAGAAAAGCGCACTGTATATTCATCTATCATCTACGTAATCGTGAGTTAGTTAAAATTGTTGGATGTCAGGGCAGCACTAACTTGCATCATATGGAGAGACCTCATGATGTCGTAATCACTAAAGAAGGGAACATATTAGTGGCTGATTATGGAAATAGTAGATTGCTATTATTAACAAGTGGTGGATTTCCTTTGAAACAACTTCTGAAAGGAGAAATATACCACCCTCGTTCAATCTTAACTGACAAGGACAACAACATAATCGTTGCAAGCACCTCAGAGCTGAGCGTTTGTAACAATACAGGAAAGGATCTTAAAAGAATCATTAGGTCAACAGAAGAACTCGAAGGGTTAACAATATGGCCATGCGATCAAAGAAGCATCGCAGTTGCGGACTATAGAAACAACAAAATCCAAATATTCAACAATTACTAATAGCAGTTACGAATTTAATTGTTTATACAGTGTGTATTATTATGCTTTATACGTTAAAACAAGGATCTTGAAAACAATTCGTTGTTTAACGGGGAGCCAATGAAGGGCCAGGATCATGAGAGTAATATGATGACGGCGTTGCGTAAGCGTACATACACGAGCTGCAGAATTTTGTATTTTTGAAGCCCGTAAAGAGAAGAGGGCAGCCGAAGCTGATTTTTTGTCAAGGTACTCTCTGATTCGGTGATATTTCGAAGATAGTAATTATATGATTTGCAGATACAACTGATATGCTGCTAAAAAAATGAGGGATTGTTCCAATATCACACCGACATTACGAACTAATGTTGCAGATTTAATTTCAACTGTATTTTGTTTAAGCGATGGAAAATGATTCGGTAATAAAGTAAATTTTGAGTGAAATATCATAAATGCAATTCTTCTTAGGATTAGGTTTTAACAAGTTATATGACATGCATGATTCAATTTCATAAAAACAGTTTTGAAGATTAAAAACAGAAAGCTGATTAGATAAGTTGAAGGGAAGATATAATAGGAAGAAAAATAATATGTATTCAGTAGGGAAAAAAATTATAATTGATTGATTTTCATTGTGTGAAAAGTTTAAATGGTTTACTTCATATTTTGTTTTAAAAAAAGGTCTTAATATATATGAATATATCTTAATATAACGGACACCTCCACTGCCAAAGTCCACAGTCGGACAAGAATACCTCTCGTTACCTGCAGTAAACCAAAACAAGTATCGTTCCAACAAAACGTTAACTTTGCTAAATGTATTATTAATTTGTTAGTCTCACTGAAACTGTTATGTTTTGTCTACCTACATATAACTCCACCTATCGGGCCATTTTCTGAGTCAACACGTAGAGCCAAGTTGTGATAAATGAAGTTAAATAATTAACATTACTCAGATAGTTGATTGAGATCAAGTTGCAACTGCCTATGATTATCCTCTACTTTCCCAAACAGGTTTTATCATCAACATATATATTGTGTATGTCCTATTGTATTTGAACAAGTTGCATTATTGATCATAATTTGATTTGGAGCTTTACCGGTTAGATTAGTAGGCTCGAGTCATAATTGGACACTTTGTCGTTGTATTGCACAGATTAAAGACGGTTATTTAAGAAATCACTATCGCCCGTATTCTTACAACGAACTTTAGTCGAACTTTAAACTAGAACTTCATTTAGTCTTAGTTTGCAACTTTAACTTTTATTTGTCAAGTTCTAGTTTTAATCCAGCTGAAGACGGCTGGCATGCAACGACTATCAAACTAATGAAAAGAACTCGTATTTAGAGATCCGGTAACGCGGATAAATATTAAGCCGCCGTCTGCCGTTCAAAAACATATTTCCTCATAATTCATAATAGATAATCATTCGATTAATTGATTTTCTATAATAATAACTACCGTATCTTAATCGTTAGAGAAATTTCGCTTTCTTTGGAGAAATATTATAGTTGAGCCCGAGCGAGGGCGGTGCCATCTTTGTTGTTACGGTGAAGCTACGTGACCGCAACGTAAGGATATCGTGCAAATCACGTAACTATCGCATACCTATAGCAAATCAGGTTACTTTCACATTTTGAAGTCGACGAAATATAGCCTGACCCTAGACTGAGTAAAAAAATTGGCCTCCAGAGGTATCATTTTAGTTGAGTTTTAACTCCAACTACGACTAAAGTTCGTTTTAAGAATACCGGGGTAATCCATACTTCCAGGTATTGGTCACAAGTTTATAAAGCCAACATGGAATCACTAACAAAAGCCCAGTTTTTTTCTTAGTTGTTTTTGACGAACCTTTAGACTTCAAAAGAGGAACTTGAAGGGTTAACGATATGGCCATGCGGCAAGTGTGTGGGGATGTTATAGTTGTTGAGTTCATATATAATACATGACCTATCTAAATATTTCAGCGATCGTTGGCTTCAGTTAAGCCTACTGCTTTTTATTGTAGCAAGGAGTGTTCCAGTACAGTTCTGTACAGGGTAATTGATATTCCTGAGAGAATAGAACGTCCATAATGAAAATTGTGTCATCTGCTCAATGAAGAGTTCACTGCACATAACACAGAAAATGAGTAGTAACTTGAACCTCTTTTGTCACAAACCCCACCTCGGTTTGATTAGCGAACGAGACATTCTAGGCTTTAGAATCGATCATCCACATATTCCGATTTTTTGTTTGAAAGGTAAATACAGTGGTTACATTTCTTTGATGATTTATTATAATTTAACAGTGTTAACGGCTTGATTTTGATTTCTTGATCTTGATTTATATTCGAAATAGTTGCATCTGGTTTGATTAATATTATTATAGCAGTGTTGAGAAAATTCAAATCAGCTTCTGCTTTGCATGATTTCTTGAGTACGGTAGCTCTTCTAACTTTCTCAATTCCGAATTTCTAACTTCACCGTTACAGCTTAAATCATGAAAAGTAGGACACAAATTTCGTTTATTTGTAAACACATTTCTTCTGTTTCCCCAGGCATCATCAGTGCTAACTAGAAACAATTACTGCCCAAACAATTGCTTATATACAGCCTGAATACTGAATGATCATCAGCTCAGATGTGTTACGTGACACGTAGACTAAATGTTGTTTGTTGCCACGTATAGAAAAGTAATGCTTTTATCATATTGGACCAATTGTAATTATGGCGTGTTTAGTCCTTGTTTGTTGCCACGTAGCCTAGCTTCGATCTTTTTGTTCTATTATTTATGACTTAAGCTGTAACAGTGAAGTTAGCAAGTCAGAATTGAGAAAAATAGAACAGCTTCAAGAAAATCATGCAAAGCATAAGCTGATTGGAGATTCGAGAGCACTGCTTAGAAAAAATATTGGCGTGGCGCTTTCTATGGCCGTTCCCATGTTTATTTCACGTATTTCTGTAGGCTGGGCCTATCAAAGGTCGGATCATCGTAAACGTTTATAAAGAAATACCTGTGTCTTACATTGTGTTATTTATTCATTGTAACACTGTATACATTGTATTTAAACGGATTGTTTTTCGAAGTGCTTTATTACACACTGGGTATATAATACTCTCCATTATTCGAGAGCTGCCCCTTAATGAAAAAAAAAAAACAAAAAAAAAACATCAGGCGGAGCTTAACAATAGGAGAAGGTTGTTGCTTGGGTACAGGGATAGCATTTGTTGCTTTCCATTGCGTAGACTCTAGAGGCTTCAAAATGAACTTTAGCAGTGGCGTAACGATGAGTTATGGGGCCCCGAGGGCAAAATATGTTGTGTCTGAGGTGTGAATAATGTCTGACAAAAAATAAATAGTATTTTTTTAGTATTTAATATTGGGCGAAGCCTCTTTGAAGCTCAATCAATCGTTTTATTTATAGGCCTATATGCCTATGTTTTTAATGCACAATTCAAACATTAAAGATAGGTTTGCTAATTTTAAACACACACTTGCGTAGAACTTTGGGTAGTATATGTAATTAGGGCCGGCTTACAGTAAATGTTATTCTTACTTAGGTTGCTGTAAATTTGTCAGGGAATGAACTGAGGTGGCACAAAGGTGGAATACATTTCAATTGGGTCATTTAGTAAATTAAAAAAAAATGGTAAGTTTAATATTGGTAGTGTCAGCGTAGGGATCGCAAAATCAACGTAGGGATTTCAATGTAAATTTTTTTTGTAGGATTTTAAATTTCTAGTGCCACTCCAAGATCTGGTTGGAATAGGGATAGGCTTGTTTGTCTTAGGTCAAGCGTAAAGGGTATGACCGTTTCAGATAGTATGGTGACAATCTCTTTCATTTTTTAAGTGTTTTTTTAAAGCGTTTCATTACCAATAGCAAATTGAAATTGTCTAGCCTTAGTGAGATATTAATTCTACCCATGACTTATCCATTATATGATATTTGAAGATTCTAGAAGGGGAATAGTTTAAATAGCATTACTGTAATAATAATACCACAAAGTAAATAACAATTTTGTATATATTTCAACCCACGATTGCTCTTGAGCCCATCCTCTAAATTTGAGTGCATGTGTTATTAGCAAAAGTCGGGCATAACCACATTTTGTATGTAAATGTAATGTTGTAACTAAAAAATAATGGAAGGGATCGCTAGAAGGAGGTATGTATTCACTGTGGTCTGTTTGTATCACGATAATGCAAAAACTAAGGAATGGATGATCATACAATTTATTGGAATGATACATAATAATCAAAGAAGAGATTTTTAACTTTTGGGAAAAACATGTCAAAACCTCACGGTAACAAAAATTCGATAATTTTTTCCTTCAACTTACTGTCTTACCCTGGGTCATAACAGAAAAATAATGGATCGCACATACACAGTACAGTACAGTATAAGGGGGAGGGGGGTCGAAAGTAGGGCCGATTAAGATAACAATACCCCGGGTGTCCGGGGGCATGCCCCCACGAAATATCTGTGTTCTAGACGCCCGAAATAACCTCTGAGGCCTTTTGGGCGATCATTTTTTTCCTTTCTTTCTTTTTTCTTTTTTTTTTTTTTATAATTTCGGGGGGGGGGCGAGGCCGACCCGGTCCCCTCTAAATCCGCCCCTGATAAGTGATAAACCTTGCATATTAGTTATATAGTATTTTTGTATTATCATATATAATAATAATATTATTATTAATATTATTATTATTATTATTATTATTATTATTATTGTCGACAATAATATTATCACAGCCTTCATAATCCTAGATAATTTCAATTTCAATTTGATATGGTTAATTTTCTCATGATTTAATTTTTTATTTGGTATGCTTCTGGAATTACGTAATATTATTTATTATAATATCAATGCATTTCGATTTCCATTAAACATTATTTGTATCAAAAAAATATGCTTTTACTTGTATTGTTAGCGCTTGTTGACTTCATATAGGCCTATAATATCAGGGAACAGTTAATACATAGGCCTCTCTGAATATGCCAGCGATCGTTAGGCTGCAGTTAAGCATACTGCTTTGTATTGTAGCAAGGAGTGAGAATCTGATTAGTTTACCATGGAGGAAATATATTAAGACATTTCCTCCATGGTTTAACTTGCAATTGGTTATGTCGGTAGTAAAACAATAAAATAGCTCTGAAACCTAGAAACCTAGAAACCGGGATGGTGTCCGAAGGGGGATAGTCTTTCACCAAAAGTAGTTAAGTGTTGCTTAAGTAGACCGTGGGTTGAGGCTCCAAAATCGGCTTAGTTTACGAATTCTGTGACCCACCGATCCGCGCTACTTGGCATTCGCACAAAAATGTCAATACTATTTTATTGAAACATAATATAATCGTCGGCAATCGTTAATTTGGGGAAACTGTAACCAAAAATGAGAATTTATCTTCGAAAAAATAATGTCGTTCACGAAAGTAGTACCCAATCACAGCATACTTACTATACATGTTAAGCATTGATGAGACGCTATTAGCCAATCACAAACGTTCTTGTAAACTCGGTAACTAATGTAAACAATGTCGCGAGGAAAGTGACAATGTGTAGCAATTTGGACGAAAGTTCTCCGGTTTTAGTGGAATATTTCAATATAATAGAAGTATACCAGCCTTTAAATAAAATACATTGGTAATAGTTGTAAGATTTTAGAGGTAGTAAATTGCATTTCCCGTCTTCTGTCGACTGTCATACCGTAGTTTTTTTAAGCCAAAGTCGACCGTGCTGTACTGAATGTGTATTGTATTACTTATCTAGGCCTACATATGCATAATAGTAGGAAGGGCAAGACGTAATGTTCATTGACTTTGAATGAGACAGGAAATTCCTGTAAGTATATAATATATTTTGATTCTATTTGGAATCGCTTTTTTTTTGTCTGTTTTTTCTATAATTAAAAAAATGTACATTTTAAAAGAAAACTAAGGCTGAATTACTTAAAAAATAAGAACACATTGAGGCTGATGTAAAATTTCAAATGTTTTTATTTGCATGCAGTGTAAATAAATAACATTAATCAGTATTTCTTGCCATGCCTGTTGATTTTTGTTTATCTGCTTGAAGACCTTGATAATATGGACTGAATTAATGAATAAAAGTAAAGCAATTCATGAATCCAATAAGGTGAAACAAATAAATGTTTAATATACCTCAGTTCAGCCAGTTGCATCCCATCAGCACTTTCATTATCTCTCTCATCACTCACTGGGTATATACATTTAACTACACAACAGTAAACACAAGGTTGAAAGAAGTTTATGACAAAAATCTGAA